GTACAGAACAGGTATGTAGTGATGGCATGCTTCAGGAAAGAGTCACCGAGCATCTCCAGCCGCTCCAGGTTGAAGCCGTCGCTGGCATTAGACAAGGTCAGGGCCTGCAGGATGAGACCGGGGTTGGGCCCCAAGCTCTTGGGTGAGTTTGCTGCGTGGGATCCATGCTGGGGATGAGCACAGACATCAGAAGGTGCTGTGGGAGTGTTGGGACTCGTGGCTGCTCGGCTGCAGACTGAGGTAGCTTTTTTTGTGTGGTCTGAAGTCCTCCCCGATGTACATTCATCACTAGGCTGTGGAGGACTGGAGTTGGGCTTCTTCAAGGTGTGAGGGGGCTGCACAAGAACTGAGGTAGTGCTTTGTACTGATTTGGAGCTCTGCAGCCCAGCTAAGCTGAGCTGGGAGCATTGGCAATTGTCACATTGGGGAAGGTGCTCATTTTGGTTGCCATCGTCACAGCTAGCAAAGAAGGCGGTGCCATTAGTTAGGTTCCTGGTGCAGGGGCCTTCTTCAGAATCTAAAGCTTTGAAGTCCTCCTGCTCAGACATGGAAGAGTGCTCACCACTGGGAAGCATCAGGGAACTGGGAACAGGGCTTATAGTCTCTTGGTGCTTACAGTGACTGGCACCTTCCTCGCTGCAGGACTCAGGGCAGGATATGAAGGTTTTGCTGTCAATAGACCTTTTCCAGCCAAAGTCCAGGTTTGGATATCTGCCACATACAGAGCATCTACATGTTAGCGTGTGCACACACACAAGTTCACAAACAACAAATCCTAGAAGAGAAGATTTGGTTTTCTTAACTACGATCAGACATTAACACTAACTCATCAAGTCCCAATGGGAAACTCTGGTCTGGCCATTCTTGTGGATGTTACTTTGACATGTCCCACATCAGCATTCTAACAACTTTATCATGCAATCAACTCGTTTTAGTGTGCAATAGGAAAAAATGTGCAATTTTGAGGACGCCAACATTTATAGAGTCCTTTCCTAGTCTAACAAGTCAAAAGGCTTCACAATCTAACCAACAGTCACCCATTTTCTACACTTGCACTCCTATGAACAGTTTGTGTATGAATCAGCAGGAAATAAGTCTTTTGGAAAGTGTGACGCAGAAATCTGTTATTCTATTGTGTATGAAACAGCCACCTGAAGTCAGGGGGGAGGGTCTGGACTCCCACTCCAGCCTCACTAGCTGTCTGAGCTCTGAGCTCCTCAGCAGTCAGCAGGCAGTGTAGGCGGTAAAGAATGCTGGGCAGACACACGGCTTTTCTCCACAGGGAGGCTGGAATAGGGTGGATGGCACACAGCTCTGGAACCAGGATCTGACGAACACGAAGCACATGAGACTGGGATTGTCGGAATAAACAGCAACTCACAACAAGACTTTGTCTCTGGCACTCACTGGTCTAATAACAGATCACCATCAACCCTGTCCACACACGATCATGCCATATTAAATAATGCATCTATAGTATTCTTTGATATAATAGGTTATAGAAATCAGTAATAATAATAATTATCATCATCAATCCATCCTCTTTTCCAGTTCAAATTCACAGTGGGGCTGGAGCCAATTCAGAACCAGTATCTGGACTGTGGGAGGAATGCCGAGCACCCGGACACAGGCACAGGGAGAACATGCCCACTCTACACTCCAGCTGACCAGTGGATGGAAACAGGACCACTGTACTAACCAGCAGTAAAGTGAAAGCTAGAAACGTTCTTTAAAAACACACAAATGAAATACGAGCATGTCCCATGTTCCTTTACACACAGTATTATCCTAGGTTTGCTACACTGGTGGATATCTCTCACCCTACAATCTAACAGAGGCAGCGAGTACCTGTTTGTTCTGTAAACTCTCCCACTTGGCCTTCCTCTTCTCTGCACTGCTGAGTGGCAGGGCTTTGCCCTTCTGGTTTAGGTGTCGAGGGGTTAACAGGTTCAGTCTGCGATGGGACAAGAGAGTTGGAAAGCCTGGTCACCATAGTGAACATTTAAATTTATATATACGCATAGTATTAAACAAGCACCCCCCAGGTTTGCCTTTTTCCTCCTGACCTTTATTCCACACTGTGGATTACATATTGACAGTTCCCATAAAAAGCCAGCATGTAAGCATGTTCACACTTGGAAATGGCATTAATCTGTTTATTGCCTTTCATGAAATGAACAGTACAGACTCCACTCTTGGCTATAAAATTATTATTCAGGAAGGGAAGTACTTCCTAAAAATAAAAAAAAATGGCTCCAATTGCTAACAACACAATATTTATGCAAAGCCCAGTGGAGTCGCATATCTGCTTCTGTGCTTTTCTGTGTTTTCTCACATGCCTGAGAAAACTGTCCTTGTCCACATAATAATGAACCTGGCTCCAGATTTGGTGCCACTGACCTGGAGGAGGTGTGGTCTACATCCAGGAGCGGCTGGTTAAGGTTAGACAAGTCCAGGTTGTACTTTGTTTTGTAGTACTCAGCGAAAGTCTCGTACTCTGGCGAAGGAAACTTGCTGAGTGGTGTCAGGTCTGCGTACACATCAGCGACATAGAAGCGATGAGGCTGGTCGAAGTTGCGATACCTGGAAAGCAGCAGCGAGGCGATTATCACGTAGTTTGGCTCAGCGTGTACTTCATACAGCTGACACGTTCACACAAAATCAGTCCAGTACAGACACAGACAAAGTCTCCAGTTAATCCAAAATGCTGCAGCAAGAGTCCTGACAGGGACTAGAAAGAGAGAGCAGATTTCTCCTGTTTTGGCTTCCTGTTAAATCCAGAATTGAATTCAAAATCCTGCTCCTCACATACAAGGTCTTAAATAATCAGGCCCCATCTTATCTTAATGACCTTGTAGTACCATATCACCCTATTAGAGCACTTCGCTCTCGCTCTGCAGGCCTACTTGTTGTTCCTAGAGTATTTAAAAGTAGAATGGGAGGGAGAGCCTTCAGTTTTCAGGCCCCTCTTCTGTGGAACCAGCTTCCAGTTTGGATTCGGGAGACAGACACTATCTCTACTTTTAAGATTAGGCTTCAAACTTTCCTTTTTGCTAAAGCATATAGTTAGGGCTGGACCAGGTGACCCTGAATCCTCCCTTAGTTATGCTGCAATAGATGTAGGCTGCCGGGGATTCCCATGATGCATTGAGTTTTTCCTTTCCAGTCACCTTTCTCACTCACTATGTATTAACAGACCTCTCTGCATTGAATCATATCTGTTATTAACCTCTGTCTCTCTTCCACAGCATGTCTTTATCCTGTCTTCCTTCTCTCACCCCAACCAATCACAGCAGATGGCCCCGCCCCTCCCTGAGCCTGGTTCTGTTGGAGGTTTCTTCCTGTTAAAAGGGAGTTTTTCCTTCCCACTGTCACCAAAGTGCTGCTCATAGGGGGTCATATGATTGTTGGGTTTTTCTCTGTATCTATGAAGCGCCTTGAGGCGACTTTTGTTGTGATTTGGCGCTATATAAATAAAATTGAATTGAATTGAATTGAACGTGCCGCTCCACTACCTTGGAATGATGACAGCATCCTGGTAGTCCTCCAGCTTAAAGGTGAAGGGGTTCTGCTTTGTGTACTGAGTAGTAGGAATGCCAGTGCGGGCCTCAGACTTCTCAATGTCTTCCATAAACTTAAAATCCATATCTAGTGTGTTGGAGTCGCCAACTGAAGAAGCCAAAGGAGAGAAGGAAAGATGGTTAACGGACATTTTAACACAGGTGGAAATGAATTTACAAACCGAACTGAGCACTCACCAACATTCAGAGGTAGAACACAGTAAGCAGAGTCAGCCATTGTGGGCATGAACTCCAGTGCAGGTTTCTCCAGGCGGAGAATATGGGAGAAAATGTACTGGTGGAGACGAGTGATGAGGTCGAGCTGGGCAGTGGTGAGCGTGAAGCCAGACTTCTGCAACTCGATGGAGATGGTCACCTCACCAGAGCGAGTGTACACCGGGAAATGGGGAATCTGGATCAAAGCAAAGCTGCTCGTTTTCACACGTCTACAGAATAAATGCTGAAGAATATTGTGCAGCTCTGAGGTGCTCAAATGTGCGGGAGCAACGTACTCGAGGTATGGGTTTGGCAGTCAGTATGCCGAAGCACCTGGTGGTGTCCTCTGGCGGGTAGAGCTTTCTTCTACGGAAATTGAGCTCATCAGGGAGGGGAGTGGTGAGCACCATCCCAATCACATACAGGTAGTAGCTCTGCTCCGGTACTGCATAACAGTCACAGAGACACTCCGGTATCTGGAGATGACAGAAACGGGACACAGTACTGTGTGCTCATTGAGTCAGCCCTCATGTTTGCCTTTACTGCACTGGCAGTGCGTTTGGGATGAAAACTCATTAACCAGTAACATGTTTTCCATATTGTAGTGCACTGTGGATCAAAATATGACTGTACTTTTTTTGCATTCATAATTCCTTCAATCATAATTCCAACCATACTGGATGAAGTGCACCGTTCAGATACCGTTCACCTGCCGATTAGTTTTTCTAGGCCTGCTACTTGTGTTGACCTCCACTTGTCCAGTTTCCTTCCTTCTTTAAAGGTCACCATGTCACATTTTGGCAAGTTTACAGTTAATAGATCATTGGGAACCATTTTATGCTTGTATATTGTGCCATCTTTAGTATTTTTATAGATAAAGATAAAGCAAATAGTGTGCTTTAGCAACAGGCTGCTAGTAAAGCATTTAAAGATACAATGTAAAAATGAGTCTTGAGGCTTAACTTGGCTCTGAAAATGTCAGGCACTGAAACTGGACTGATAAGTACGAAAGCAGCCAGCGTCTAAGGTCTTTCACAGTCTGGAGCACGACTGCTAAAGCCTACTTTAAAGGAAGCAGAATACAAAGAAATGAGGGGAGCACAGTGCTGTATATGCCAACGCATTTACTTACTGGTGCGAGATAGCAAGGTTCTGCCAATCCAGAGAGTCACTGATGACAGGGCT